GTGCTCTTTTTGTATCTTTCTAGACAGCAGAGAGATAAAACGCATGTCACCCTAGTAAAACGCACAGTTAACCCTTTGCCCCAGATGTTAACCCCTTCCTGCCCAGTGCTATTAGTATAGTCAGTGCTTTTTTATTTTATATGTCGCTGATCACAGCCATTACTAGTATAACAAATAAATAAAAATTCCAGCATATATACCGCCTTTTGTAGATGCTTTACTTTTTACGTAAACCAATGAATTTACACGTCTTGGGCTTTTTTTTTTTTTTAGCAAAGACATGTATCAGAATACATTTTGGTTCTACATTTATGAAGATGGTGGTTTTTTTTTTTTTTTTTGTTTTTTTTTTTTTTTTTTTTTTTTATTGGATATGTTTTATAGCAAAAAGTAAAAAATTGTTTGTGTGTGTGTGTGTGTGTGTGTGTGTGTGTGTGTGTGTGTGTGTGGTTTTTTGTTTTGTTTTTAGCTAAAAAAAAAAAAAAAAAAAGTGGTGATCAAATACAACCCGAACGCTTTATTTAAGGGGGAAAAAAGGACACAAAATTAGTTTATGTACAGCCTTGCAATTGACCACGCAATGGGTGTTTTGTTTTTTTTTTTTTCTCTCCACTGATGTGTGTGATGAGGTGGCACTGATGGTGGGCACTGCTGGGTGGCACTGCGGGGCACTGATCATCAGGGCACTGATGATCGGTGCCGATCACTTCTCAGACAATTGCCGATTATCAGCAGTACTTTCCTCACGCTGTGACAGCGTGAGGAAAGTGCAGCCGATAACCAGCAACTCTATTTGCCCAGTGATCTGCTGTGTCATTGAACACAGCTGATCACGTGGTAAAAGGCCGCTGTGATTGGCCGTTCACTGTATCACGTGATCAGCTGTGTCCATAGGACACAGCGATCACTGGGGGCATGTAGGGGGGCATGTCCTGGAATGTCCATGAACGTTGTCCCAGAACTAGACAACCGCACTGTAGCCATCTTTTCGGCTATAACGCGGTAGGGAAGAAGTTGATCACTGACTCAAAACTTAAAAATTTTGCTGAAATATATATATTTTTTACTTTGAAAATATGTGCATATCCTTGTAGCTGCACCTGTTGTTTTTGGCTCTTCATAGCGGCTAACAGAGGGGGTGAAACTTCAATTTCCTGCTGATTGCAAAAGTGAAAGAAAACCTCCCCTGATGTCCTTTTTAAGCATGCATGTTCCAGGGAGCTGGTAATTTCAATGTGTGGATGTTAGGTATACAGTCTGCCCATTAGCTGCTTGATTACATTCTTAGCCCTGCTTCCAGAACCGTAATTAGGATTAGAACTGCAGAGCTAAAGTTTGCAACATTCACTGGCGAGCAGGGAGGAAAATGTTTATCTAAAGGGATGCTGGGAAAGTGTTCTTACAGCCAGGCTCATCAATAGACATCACTTAGACCAGCGTTTTTCAACCACTGTGCCGCGGCACACTAGTGTGCCGTGAGATATTGTCTGGGTGCCGTGGGAAAAATTGCAATTTCATCCGTAAACATGTTGACACCTCGGCTCACAAATAGGCCAATCATTTAGAACGCAATGGGCAAACTACGGCCCACGGGCCGTATACGGCCCGGCGGACCTTTTAAATCCGGCCCGTTTGCCAGTGAGATGTCAGGAATTGTATAGAGACCGGAGATTACCGGCTGCTAATGCCTGAAACTGGCACATGCGCAGATACGTCGAGGGGGACAGATCTCATAGGAGACAGATTTTCATGCTACACCGGAACGGCAAAGGCATTTATTGGTGACTAAACTTAATATGGGGGATATGATTACTATGGGGGATGATGGTTACTATGGGGGATGAATTACTATATGGGGGTGGAATTACTATATGGGATTGGGATGAATTACTATAATGAAAACTATAGGGGGATGAATTACTGTAGAAAGGATGAATTACTATAGGGTGATGAAATTACTATAGGGGTATTGATGAATGTATATGGGGGGGTGTGTAACTATATGGGGGAATGGGGTGTGGGATGCTTATGTGTACTGTGTGTTACTATACTTTACTATGTTGACACATACACATTTTTCATCTACTGTGTCCGGCCCCCGGGTGTGTAATTATAAAATAATTTCTTTGTGTGTTTCTCCTATTCAAGTTACTTTATATATAGTCAATATAGTGTAAATTTTTTTTTTGACATTTTCTAATGGTGGTGTGCCTCGTGTGTTTTTCATGTGTGTATACAAAAAAGGTTTTTGTGAAAACACTGACTATCTCGGCTCTCAGTACATCTGATAGCTAGCTATATTGAAAGCAGAATGAATTTGTAGAGACAAGTAATGGATGCAGATCTCTGCTTCAAAGGCATGTGTGATGGTGTGGTGTGTGTGTGGTGTGTGTTGTGGGTGTGTGTGTGGTGTTATGTGTGTGTGTGTGTATGTGTGTGTGTGTGTGTATATATATATATATATATATGTGTGTGTGTGTGTATATATATATATGTGTGTGTATATGTGTGTGTGTGTGTGTGTGTGTATATATAACCAACCAGGGTATTATAGGAAGAGAGACTAATTCATTATCTTTGGATATAATGAATTTTCTTTTGTCCAATGCATTTTACTGGATTTTCCAAAACCATATCACATTTACATACAAAGATAGGAGGTGTGTGTGTACATACAGTATGTTCTACTAGGCTATAAAACAATCATATCTCATATACAATACACAATGATATTGAACAGAAACCGCAAAAAGTATAACATGTTCAGAAGAGAGTAACCAGATTAAACGGTGTGCACTATGAACTGTTGAGAAAGGGGTAGGTAGGGCTTGCGGTAGAAGGGGGGGGGGGGGGGGGGGGGAATAGGAACAGGTTGCACCACCGTTATCCACTTGCTTACCCGGCATTTATACCCCCTTCCTGTCCAGGCCAATTTTCAGCGCTGTCACACTCTGACATTTGCGCGGTCATACAACTCTACCCATATGAAATTTTTTAGTAGCTGTTTTTGATGTAATTTTGTGGGCAGAATTCAGAGTTTGCAGGGAGGGATCCCTGTGGCTGATCAAGTCATGGAGAGCCTTTAGAGTGGTTGGCACTCAAAGATGTGGCAGGATCAGGGGTGAACTGACCATTTGGAAACTCGGGCACTGCCCGAGGGCTCGGGGTCAGTAGGGGGCCCCATGAGATGCTTCTGGTACCTTTTTTCATAGGCTTTTTTGAGTTTGGGCAAGAACACAGGGGCCCCATGATTGTCAGCCCGGGGGCCCCATGAGTTGTCAGTCCGCCCCTGGGCAGGGTTTAAAGTCTCAAACATTTTAAGTAATGATGACATCGTGATGTTATTGGTTAACATGCATGCAACTATACAGCCAATGTTTTTCATGGTTCTCCCCCTTCAAGGCTACGAAATAATAGAAAGTCAGATGAGAATTACTGTGGTATTCAAAAGTATCACATTAGGTCATTTACATACAGTATACGTTTCAGTTGTTGATAATTTTTTAATTTCAAGATGTGACAATTTAATTCCAAGAATGGACCATTAATAACTCTATCATAGACCTCTGCATTCTTCAAAAGATTGCATGAAATTTAAAGATCATGTTCTTTTTGATCTTCTGTCAAGATTCAAGGCACCATCTTTGCAGAAATCTTTCTCATTCCCATATCCTCCATTAGAATCTGCCGTTTCCCTGTTCTGTTCAATTCTTCTGCCATCGTCATTTGCGCACTCAATCATCGATATGAGGGTTCAAGCAGATATTGGATGGTAACTAGGTTACAAGACCTCTATATATTATGTACTAGTTAAATTCTTCCATACACGCATGGTCACACTAGACACGTGGTTCTACTACACGTTTAATAGTATATTTTTGCAACCACATTGAAAAGTGTTTTTACTTTATTTCCTATTCATTTTTATATCATTCTAATTTTCAACACCAGAAACATACATATATCTGATAGAATGTAAATTTTTCCATGGCATCTACGCTCAGTGTGTCACCCCGTCATCTTTTCCTTACTGTTTTGTAGCCCTGAAGAAGAAGGGGAGAAACCTGAAATGCATTGGCTGCATGTAGTAGCAATAAAATGCATTGGCTGCATATAGTATCAATAAAATCCTGATTAATTCATAAATGTTTTTTTTTTTTTTGTTAGCATCACGGTGCCCCCCAACTTTTTTTGTCTCTATGGTATGTCATATTAGTGACTACCCCCCCACAGTAATATAGCACAACTTTTAAATATCATGTTGTGTCCCTACCATAGGGTCTACCTACTAAAGACCAAGATCAGTGTTACAACTCTGAGTAAATGGGGTCTGATTTGAGGAAGGTCTGGGTTGAATCAAGATGGGTCTTAGAAGTCCCAAAGGCTTATTTTATAGGCTGCTGGAATGTGTGCATATGGATTATTATAGGTTTGATATGGACCCTCAGCATCCTCAGTGACCCTCAACCTAATCATTCCACATTTGATCCCTTTTTTTTTTTTTTTTTTTTTTGGCTTACTATGAATTAACCTCACAATATAAACACACACATGGTATGTAAATTGGGCAAACTATTACGAGCACAATAGTACCTTTTTAACCACTACAGGGAAATGAGCATGAAAGCTGTTTTTGGGTTGGCCATTGTTTTTTGACCTTCCTATTAATTGTACTATAGACCATGGATCACATTTATGATTGATTTCACCTCACTTCTGTTTCAGGCATCCTATAGAATGTTCAAATCAACCAGAAAATGTTTTATGATCATTTTGTGTTGTACAGTTATCCTGCTGTTTAGCTACATCATTCAGCTATACTTCAGTCAGGTAGGTTCTTTGTTGTAGACCGCACACTTAAATTGTTTGTAGATAAGACTGAGTGTAACAGTGGAAATGTTGACTGTTTTTTTTTTCGTCAGCTTTTGGACTTTCACTTTCTCAGTGTAAAAAACGATGAGACACCAGCCTGTAGAAAAAATGAGTACGTTGCCACAGAAATGGAAGACAAAGCCATCGACCAAAAAATAACTTATGTAATGACTATGATAAACCGTACAATCCCCCAAAAGCATACCATGTATTTTGATGAAACCACCAGCGCATTGAAGAGCACAGCAATAATTTTGAACTATAAACCCTATTATTGTGTTGGAGACACCTTGATTGTTCAGGTTGAGATGTTCAATTATTTGGGGAAAAAGAAGACTTATGGAGGAGACTTCTTACTGGCCCGGATCTTTTCAGCAAAGCTTGGAGCTGGAGCTTCTGGAAGAATTGAGGACTTCAATAATGGAACTTACAATATTTATTTTACATTATTTTGGGAAGGACAAGTCGAAGTCTCCATTCTCCTAATGCATCCCAGTGAAGGGGTAGCTCTATTGTGGAAAGGGAGGAATATGGGATACAAATATATTGGCTACACTGGAGTGTTCATTAATAAAAACCAGCCGGTACATACAGAATGTGGATTTTACTTGAATTCCCAACAAGAAGAATGTGAGTATACAGACAGGAAATATGGAGAAGTTTTCCACTGTATCAAGTTACCAGCAGTACCTTGTGAGGCTTTGACTTCATTAAAAAGTTGGCACAGAGATTATACGTACCTCTCCAACGCGAACAAGACCCTATTATCCCTGTAAGTACCTCCCTAAGATTACTTTTTATTACTGGCACAGATTTCATTTTTGTTTGAGGTTCCAAATCTGTGTAGTGAAGATGGTGCTAAATATCGAAAGGTATTTCCATGTTTTATAAGGATGATTATTCATTAAAATTAGAATTCTATTTTTTATGTACAGCTGTTTGCAATTCAAACTGATCATATGGTAAAAAAAATACATAAGAAGTTATTTTAAATTGAACCTGTGACCAGGCTATGACATGGCAGTCTGAAGCTATTCATCCTCTAAGGTGTCCTTTTTTTTTTTTTTTTTTTTTTTTATCATGCAGCAGTAAATGACCGCTGCTCAGTTCTCCGGCATTTTCAGAGGAGACAGTTCTCCTCTGAATACCTTTTTTATAAAGCTGTGTAGATCACTTCTCCGAATGCAGGGAGAAGCGATCTACAAACGCTTTGAACAGTGGAAAACGGCTGCTTTTACTATAATCTCCAAAGTGAAACGAGAGAGCGCACTAACATTGCGCATTACCTCGGTAAACCATAATTTTATTGAATTCAGAAACAACAAAGTAAATCAAGCATGTAAGTCTTCAAAAGAACTTTAGAAATGTGAAGCCTGTGCGAGTCACACTCAATACCTCTAACGCGTTTCGAAGGGCATCCCTTCTTCATCGGAGATCCGCAATGATCCTCAGGATCGCCGCTGATCTGTTTCATAAAAGGACACTTAAGTTCACAATAGAATTGATATCTTTTCAGTACTTCTCTCAGCAGCTCAGCTCCCCCACTGTCAGGAATGGACTGGCCAGCAATGGTGGGACTCGCCTGCCTTATGGGCTGCAGTACCAGGGCTGGCCAGCAGGTGCTCCCAGCAATCAGAGACTCAACCTTGCAGCCAGCCAAACACCTGAAACTGCTTATGCTGGTGTATTTAAGGGATGGCCAGACCTGCAGACTCTGCCTTGGTGTGTGTTTTTCCTGGGCCCTGTATCTTGTTCCTGCATCCCTGTTCCTGTCTGATTCGTTGCTGACCCTGCCTGATCCGGACCTCTGCTGACTTCTCCTGCTTTATCCCTGGCTTGTGACCCCGACCATTCTCTGCCTGACCCCCCTGTACCTACCTGCCCGATTTGTTATTGACCCGGCCTGCCTGACGACGCTTGCATTGTATGTATGATCTGTGGGTGGTTTGGTTTGATTCATTTGCACTGTTATGTTTAGTATTGCACTGCGTTTGTTTGTATTGTTAGTCTTTAATAAATTATATTGTTTATAACTTATCTGAAGTCTGCGTTTCCCTGCGTCAGTCACATACCTCTGGTCATACCCGGGAGCCCTGACATTACACCAAGGCCAATCCTGACCAGAAGTGGCTGCACAGGGAAGCCATCTTGGCTTGTTGCTGGGAAGGATGGATCTTGATGAGGTTGTGTATTTATATCTGCTAGTGTTTTGATGACAGAGAATATGCTTATCAGACTCTGAAGGAGTATCCCCGGGATGAACTGCTAGAATGTATACGGCTCGCTCATGTTCTAGTAGATCAGGGCACAGAATTCTCTGAGGTGCAGCCATTGATTCAGGTTTGTGCTGAGTTGGTTTCATCTGGTACCCCGAATGCAGGGATGAATTTTTGCCGCCATTTAGTGCCGACCAGGTAGAGTCCCTGGTATGGTTATTAGAGGATGATGTGGATTACTTTCTGGTGCGTTATTCTGCATGTTCACCACAGACACTAAGAGATTGTATAAACGCAGTGCAGTCTTTGGTCAGACAGGCTTTGTGTAAGCTCAGCTTTGTTCAACCCATACTGCAGACATGGACAGATTTGTTGCACCCAGCCTCAGTCAGCCTACAAAAACCCAGTCCTGCTTCTAATCTATTTCCTCAAAGCTCTATTCCCGCATTCCCAACAGCTCCTCCTGCCCTGCTATCTACCGCATGTCAGTACCCTGTTCCCACTCGCTGCACCTATCCTGCCTTTAACCCTGTAAAGAAGCCCTCTGTAGCAACTGTTCCCTCCCCTGTTCCATCCTCCAGCTCTTCTCTGTCTCCAGCTGCTCCATTCGTTTGCAGACCTGCGTTTACTTGCAGTGCTCCAGTAGTTAAAACCAGAAAAAAGCGAAAATTCTTTCCAACCAATACCATCCTGCCAGCATCCAAACCGGTGAGCCTGCCGTCTGAGAAGCTGCCTTCCGTGGTTCAGCCTGGTGCCTCGGCACCCGCACTTCAGCCGGATGCCTGTACCCAGCCGGATGCCTGTACCCAGCCGGATGCCTGTACCCAGCCGGATGCGCCGGTCTTTGATATCCCGCCAGTTACCAGACGGTGGAACATTTTGCCCAGCTGGGACTGTTTGGAGCATCCTGAGGCTGCTCCTTGAGGGGGGGGGGGTACTATCAGGAATGGACTGGCCAGCAATGGTGGGACTCACCTGCCTTATGGGCTGCAGTACCAGGGCTGGCCAGCAGGTGCTCCCAGCAATCAGAGACTCAACCTTGCAGCCAGCCAAACACCTGAAACTGCTTATGCTGGTGTGTTTAAGGGATGGCCAGACCTGCAGACTCTGCCTTGGTGTGTGTTTTTCCTGGGCCCTGTATCTTGTTCCTGCATTCCTGTTCCTGTCTGATTCGTTGCTGACCCTGCCTGATCCGGACCTCTTCTCTGCCTGACCCCCCTGTACCTACCTGCCCGATTTGTTATTGACCCGGCCTGCCTGACGACGCTTGCATTGTATGTATGATCTGTGGGTGGTTTTGGTTTGATTCGTTTGCACTGTGTTATGTTTAGTATTGCACTGCGTTTATGTTTGTATTGTTAGTCTTTAATAAATTATATTGTTTATAACTTATCTGAAGTCTGCGTCAGTCACATATCTCTGGTCATACCCTGGAGCCCTGACACCCTCCCAGAGCACCTGTTTTTTTGCATTAACAGACATTAGAGCACTGTTGACTTACCACAAAGTGTGGGGTGAGCAGAGCTACTGAGAACCACTTGAAAAACATCTGTTGTGAAATTTAGGATCCGTTCACACATGGGAATTTTGAATCGCTGTGATTTTTGCGCACAATTTCAAAACGTTCTGCTAAATGACAAATTGCGCAATGTGAACTTCAGGTGCCATTCATTTTAATGGCGGTGCGGTTCTACCATGATTTTTGCATGATAAATTGCTGAAAACCCCATTGCTCAAAGCTTGTTGCCCAAAAAGGAGCAGGAGCTTCTTTGGGGTGACAAGCTTTGTGCGATGCGGTTTGCGCACAATTTATTTGCAATAAAAGAGGAAGAACAGCAGTGTTTTTAGATAAAATTAAAATGAATGGCACCTGAAATTCACGTTGTGCGATTTATCCATTTTAGCAGAGAATTTTCAAATAGCGGACAGAAACGTGGCATTTCTGCCTATGATTCAAAACGCCCATGTGCGAACGGAGTCTCAAGGATAAATTGCTCCACAGTGCAGAAACAGCCTGGTGCACAGCAACAGTCTATTCACTCATTGAACAATCTGGGGATGTCTTTTTGAAAGTTTATTTGCTTGTAGAAATTGAAACCGGGTAGAGTTTGGGGTGCTATGAGATACTCAAAAACCTCAGGTATTACCATTTCTCGCTTAGTGACACTGCTTCAAGAACAGGTAGGATGGAACAGCCTAAAGCACGGCTTTCAAACTGGCGGCCCTCCAGCTGTTGCCAAGCTAAAAGTCCCATGAGGCATTGCAAGATTGACAGTTACAAGCATGACTCCAAAACAAGCGTGACTCCAAAAGGCAGAGGCATGATGGGACTTGTAGTTTGGCAACACCTGGAGGACCACCAGTTTGACATCCTTGGCCTAAAGGTTCACAGCTGGTGACTATGAAGTAACTTCAGCACAGGAATAGGTAGACTGAAACGGTCTATAGGTTCATAGCTAGGGATCAAGCATTAAGGTGCAGCACAGAAAAGAGGCTCTACTACTCGCAGGATCCTGGAACAAGATCAGTAGTATATAGCTGCAGTCTATTGTAGGGTAGTCTGACATCCAGTCCAAAGGGCTCCAGGGGAAAGAAGCACCTCCCCAGCTCACAGATCCATAACCTGAAAAGGGGAAAAAAAATCCATCTAGGCAAGCCTCCAAGGAATTGTCTAGGCCCATAAGGCTGGTCATCTGAATTCACCCTCCCTAAGATCTAGAAACTCCTTCTAGAGGCCATGGAAAGTAATCAATCTCTCTGAACAGAACATACCAAATAATGACTCCTCTGTTTACAGAAGGCGTCCAATACAAAATATACCTATCAGCCTAAATGGGAAGGTGCTACATATGCAATTTTAAAGTGACCTTCATGGAGATTTCCTTTTCAGTCCCTCAGAACAGGAAGGAAGAGGGAATCTGTTCAAAGTGAGGAGTAATTCCCTCTTAGACAGTTGTCACCTGAACCAGTGTCCCTATTGGAAGATTTCCCTTCAACCCCTGTTTTTCTGCTGTAACTCTTCTTCCTGAGATGCTGGACACCCTGTCTGATCCATTGGACAATCCTGCATTGTCTTGTTTCTGCTGAACCTTGAACTCCTTGCTCCTCCCTTGAACTTCCTAAACCATGCCTTTGCACTTCCTGTTTGCCAGATTATTCTCTCTCCAGCCAATATCTCACTTTTGTCTCTCTTGTTGCTGTCCTTCTCTTCATTACTGATCTTTTGGCTTGTTCCTCATCTACACTTCTGCTTAATCACAACCTGCAACCATTCGTTACTGACCTTTTGGCTTGTTTACTGACTACACTTCTGGCTATTCCTACCTGCTTAACCTGCTACTGAATCCCGACTTACCTCCTGGTTGGGTGATCCTGAAGACTTCGACCTGGTACTAACACGCAACAAGACCCATCTCCACCATCAGAAGCTCTGGTGAATACCGGTTAGTGCTTAGATTCTGCACCTTGGGTGAGCCCACTTTATCCGCCAGGGTAACCAGCTTGTATGCCTATCTTGCTGGTTGATGGAGCCTGACTCCAGACTGTGACAATAAGGAGCATACCACACAGCATAAAGAATTTGGCATTGAGGAACAATGAAAGTACAGCATGTTATACAAACAATGAATTGTTTAATAAGGAACTTACATTTGAAATGTGTCGGTGAGATCGGGAATGTAAAGCATGTCAAATGGAATGAGGCTTGGCAGCACAGGGAATATAGCATGGCATATGAATCATGGGGTGGGGAATAGGAAGGAACAACATGGCAAGAAGAATGAGGTTCTAAGGCATGGGAAATGTATGAATATGGACTGAGGGGTTACAACGTACAGAATGTACAACATTGTATATGGATTGAGGCTCAGCAGGAATATACAGCATGCCATATATAAAGTTGGGCTGCAGTATAGGGAATGTACAGCATTGCATACAGAATGAGGCTTGGTGGCATAGGGAACATTCAGCATGACATACAAAATGTGAGAGGTGTAGAATAGGCAATTACACTTTTGCATACGGAACAAAGGGGTGCAGAAAAAGGAGGTACAGAATAAGAAATGTACAACATGGCATACTAAATAAGGCACTGCAAGAAAGGGAATGTACATCAGAATGAGACAGCATAGAGAAGTTACAAGGCACTTTAAACATGACTGACTTCTGATCCAGCTCAGGCTAACCCCATCCAGATCTACATCAGCAAATGCGATCAGCCAGAACCCCAGGGATGAGATAGTGAGAAGGGTCAGGTGTAGGATTTTCCTGTTCTGATGGCCACAATGGGCAGACCTCCATCAGCACGGGTGCAGCACAGGATTTGGCATATCGCCCAATTGTGCTGTAAACACGTAAGCTGTCAGAGGAAGAGCTACTTCTACTACTTGCTTCCTTCACTGGATTCTGCATGCTATCCGCCAGGGATGAAAAAGGAAGTGAGTAGTGGAAGACTTCCTCTGCTGGCTTTTGTGTTCTCAAATGAAAATGATCCTGTGTTGATGTGTGCCTGGAATAGGATCAGGTAGCAGGCAACGCCTTTACCCCTTAATCCTCCTAGCCAGGGGTGGACTGACCATTTGGAAACTCGGGCACTGCCCGAGGTCAGTAGGGGGCCCCATGAGATGCCCCGGTACACTTTTTTTTTTCGTAGGCTTTTTTGAGTTTGGGCATGGACACAGGGGCCCCATGATCCCCCCCCCCCCCCCTATTGCCCGGGGGCCCCATGAGTTGTCAGTCCGTCCCTGCTCCTAGCCCTGATTTATAATCCCCCTTTTGCCAGCTTCATCAGTGTAAATGACCACCAATGAAGCAGTTTCAGTGATGGCAGTGTTAACCATTATACTCCAAAGTATAAGTGAAGAAATGCGCAGTGTTGGGGTATGCTCCTTACACTTGTCTCCCACTGACAGGGAGGAGGGAGGGGAAGAATAGATTAACAACCCTAGCAGTCAAGCAAGTAACTGTGCAGTGGGTGCCAGACATATGCACAGCCATGGATGGCTATGGTGATAGTTTTGCCACTAGTTGGGAGTCTATGGAGGGAGAATGAAAAGATTTAATTCTAAGCTGAATCTGTCCTTTAACGCTTATCTAAATCCAAGAACAAAAATATAATATGCAGCTTACCAGTCCTCGGATCTGGTGACCGTCTTAAGCAGGCCATACATGGGTTGAATTCCAAAAGCATTTTCTTTCGCAAACTTTTTTTTTCTAGGAATTTTTGTTCAAATTTCGCACTATTAGTGGGTCACCGAAACAGCCGACTTTGAGCAATCAGGCGTGTCGGAATTTTTTTTTTTTTTTTTTTGAGAAATGAACAAATTTTTAATCAATGATGGGAGAATCGTTTGAGAAATATAATTGAAAAGAAATGAGCATTAGCCGTGACCTGGAAAGAAAAGAAAATTCTTGGCCATGAAAATTCTTTTCTGTAGCAACACGAGGGGAAATTTGAAGGCTTGGTTGGTCAAATTTCGAAATTGATGGTGGCGCCATCGGGTTAAAAAATTTCTGTATTTCTAAAGAAAATTTGTGGAGAATTCGATCCTTGTATGGCCTGTATTAGTCTTTTCAGGCTAAAAGCATTTTTGTACATGCAGATTATACTTGTTGATCCTGTCAAAAATCCATTGTGTTTATAATATCCTGTGCACTGAATAGAAACTCATCATTAGTTGTCCTCTGTAAACTACAAAACCCATACCCTGTTATGGAGATAAGCAAATGTTTGTAGTTCATACCAGGCGGCCAGCCTAGGGTGAAAACACAGCTCCTCCATAGACACAGTACAGTGTGTAAGCATTTTCACCCCAGGACAGGAAGTGCATCAAAGAGGAAAAAAAAAACCAATGCAGCCACCGTATCTAAAGGTGGCCATGTATGGATCGAAATTCGGCCAGTTCAGCAGGGACTGGCTGAATTTCAATCCATGTATGGGCAGGTTGGTTGTACAGAAGCTGAAAAGTCTGTTTTTTCTAGAAGGATCCCTGGCTGTAGCTGGCAACACTGATCAATGTGTTCTGACAGCAGGGAAGTCTCACCGCCGTAAGAACACAATAGCACAGTAGGAGTAATTTCCCCCATTCCCCTCGAATGTGTGGATGGGAGAATCAGATTATTTATTATTATTTATTATTCTCTCAATCAGCACCACTGAATTAGTAAAACCTATTTCTTGCTTTATTATTAAAGGTCCAATATTGGCATAGAAATTCCCAGTCCAGCTGGAAGAATTGATGTTTTTAAAATGCCCAAGTAAGTCTGCCTTTGATATTTTTTATTGTCAAATCAAAAGGAAATTAAACAGTCAGATGTAATGTCTGTCGCCAGCTTTACACCTACATAAGCAGACATTTGGGGGTAAATGTTCACTTTTTCAAGGTGTAGGTCAGCCTGTCTTCACTTTAAATACCCAATCAGGTGCAAGGGATGTAGTATAAACAGGATTTTTGTTAGCACATAATTGGTCGATTGGAGACAACACAGCTTCATTTTCTAAGTTCAGTGACGTGTTTAGTGTCAGCCTTTACTTTTTTCGTAATTATGACTGGTCCACCTACGTTTTTGAAGGCCATAAGGCAGTTGGTTGTTCTGTACCACCTGTGGTTATGGCCTTGCGTGCAACACACAATGCAACCAATCGCCAAGCAAAGTTATTGTATTTTTGTTTAGGATAGAGTAGGAAAAGGCTACAACTGTGTCCTCCCCTTTCCCCCCCATCGGGCCTCTTGCTTTCCGAACCTTCGTCCCTGAACACTTAGGGCAATGGTATAACCTTAGTCTCCATCCACTCACAGCCTGTTATAGACTTTTAAAGGGTGCCTGCAGTAGGGCAAGAAACTGCACCTGTCCCTCCTGGGTACAGTAAAACAATGAGAGGGACACACTGCTCCTAGAGAGACCCGTGCACAAGGGGCCTTAACTTTCACTGTCTGAGCAATACAGGCCCATCTGCTGGCTGCAAGTAATGGCTATTAAATAACCATACATATCATTTACTTCCCCGCCGCCCTATAGTAGGTAGGTATACTGCTACAGGGTGGCAGGGGTGTGCAAAAGTACATGTGTGTATGTGTATATATTTGCATTTCTAGGTAGGGGGCGTGCAGGAGCCCTACCCATGCTGCCATTTGTGGCCACGGTTGTCACTCACCGGGTCCCGGACGGTGATTCCCTGCTGGCACCTGGTGATTACCGAGCATCTTCGATGGGAAGGAAGACTGCTTTGTTTACCAACAGTTGCCCCTGTTGGCTCGGGGACACTGCTCTGGATGGCTGTGCACAGCCATCCAGAGCAGTGTTCTTACAGTGAAGCACCAACACACCACCCCCAGTAAAACACTCCCCAGCATAGTTAACCCTTTGATCGCCCCTCATGTTAACCCCTTCCTGCCCAGTGCTATTAGTATAGTATCAGTGTTTTGTTTTTTTTTTGTTTTTTTTTTCTTAGCAGTGATCACTGTATTGGTGTCACTGGGGATATCAGTGACACCAAGTCAGTTTCCCCCCCCCGTGTCAGAATACCCACCGCAGTCCTGCTATGTCAGTGATCGCCACCATTTATTAGTGTAAAAAAAATTCCAGTATCTATACCGCCATTTGTAAACTCTATAACTTTCATGTAAACCAATTAATTTTACACATATTGGGATTTTTTTTTTTTTTTTATTTAGCAAAGATGTTTCAGCATATATTTTGGCCTATGTTTATGACAATTTGACTTTTTAAAAAAAAAAAATTTCTTACTGAACATGTTTAATAGCAAAAAGTCAATGGTGGTAGGTTTTTTTTTTTTTATGGCGCAAAAAATTAAAGCCGCATAGTCTATCAAATACCACTGAAAGAGAGCTCAAATTGTGAGGAAAAAAATGACGTAAATTTAATTTAGGTGCAGTGTTGCATGACCACGCAATTGTCAAAGTAACGCAGCACCATAATGCAAAAAATGGCCTGGTCAGGAAGGGGGGTAAATCCTCAGGAGGGCAAGTGGTTAATATGCCCCTTGAAAAAAAAAAAAAATAGTTTGTGGAAGGGTTAGAACACCTATTTGGGTTTTAATTGCCAGCTGAGAGAAAATTTTAAAAAACTACAGTTGCCATCAGAACATTTTATAGATGGGAGCTTATACTTGTCAAAGGTTGAATCCCCTCAATTTAGGTAGACGTCCAATTACTTGGGCCTTTAGGGCATCACCAATTGGGAAAAAGAGCGCAATAGGAATCTGTCAATGGTTCTAAATGTTTTCTACTCCAATGGACTCTAATCACAGCCCATGGGGCACATCTGGCCTGCTGCAAAATTTTATCCAGCCTATGGCTAGTGCCAGTGACATATTCTCAATATGGACAGAAAGAGGATTCAGGTCAGCAGAGGTTTCCTATAGTCTCTGCTTCCACCTGATGTAAGAGGGGCTCTGATGAGGACCACAATGTAAGTGGGAATTCTGGTGGAGACCTGGATAATAAGGGACTCTGGGAAACCCTGATGTGGGGGGGGCTGATTTTATTTTTTTTGGGCCATCGAATATTTGTAAAATATACTATGTGGCCTCCATACAGGAACGTTTAAAGACCCTTGTTCTGCCCCTTTCAAAACAAAAAAAAAAAAAATTGGCTGAAGTTCCACTTTTATCCATTATAGGTTCCATTTACAATTCAGTGATAATAATGTGTACTAAACGACTAAAAGAGCATTTTGAGCTTAAAAGACCAAACAAACTCCTTGTACACACATTTTTTTTTTTTTTTTTTTTTTACAGAAACTTTTATGCCTGTGACTTCAAAATGCAAAATTGGGACCTCTATTCCCTTTCCTAGTGGATACTTCCTACAGAACCAATGGTTTCCATCACATTGCAATCTTTCTTCCTTTGCGCCTTTGTTAAACATAAATAAATGTTTGGCTGACAAAATGATATATTTGATGGGCGATTCAACACTCCGCCAATGGATAGAATTCCTCTCAAGAGTCCTAAAGCGTAAGTATCCACGCTGCGTTGAGAAATTTAAAAGCATAACTCCAGGGACCATGTGAGTCCACTTAATTTACCTTAATTTTTAAGCTTTAATTGTGCAAGCATTTGTGTTTGCTGTTTGGGCAGCTTTGCAGCTTCTTTCCACAAAGTTCTCTGCCATGCAACTTGCATTTCAGGGTAAAGTGACCAGATTTTCAAAATTAAATGTGGGGGACACATTAGTCACCATGCCCGCTTTTATTGGAGGGGACAGGGAGTGAGGATAAAGGAGCTATGTGATATGTCACATCAAATGTTGGGCTTGGTGAAATTCTGCTAACAATGGGAGGTATGGTTTAAGAACACCTGAACCCATTTTGCTCTGGGTCAAGAGTGCAGGCACAGGTGTTGTCCAGGTCTGAACCTGCGACCTCTGTGATGTTGGGCTGTGGCTCACTTTGCCATCTGAAATGCTGGACAGCTCCCTATCTGATATCTTAGGACAATCTTACTTTTGTCTCTGGTTTTGGTGAACCTTGAACTTTCTGTTCCTCCTATGGACTTCCTGATTTAATCCATGTCTCTACACTTCCTGTTTGCCAAATTATTGTGCTTTTCCAAACTGATATCTTGCGCCTTTTGCATACTTGCAGCTTCCCACTATCTTCACCATCACTTGTTACTAGTCGCTTGTTCCTCGATTATGCTTCTGCTTGATCGCGTGTGCAACCACTTGTTACCAAACATTGGCTTGTTTACGGACTGGATCCCAACCTTCTATACTTGCTACTGGTCCACAGCTTGCTCACCTCCTGATGGGGTGATCCTGAGGGCCACAATCTGGTACTAACACGCAGCAAAACCCATCTCCACCATCAGGAGCTCTGGTAAATATGGGTTAGTGCTTAGACCCCCCCCCCCCCCCCCCATCTCAGGTTAGCCCGCATCATCCTCCAGGGTAACCTGCTTGTATACCTATCCTGCTGGTCAATGGGAGCCTCTCTACTGCTATAACTACTGGTCTTTGAGCCTGATCCATGACTGTGACAGATGTGCAGTGAAGGTCACCATCACAAGCAAAAGGTAAAGTGGCAAATAATCCAACTCCATACCTCCCGACCAAAGCCTTCACAAGCTGATTAGGGATTGAGAAGGCCACGTAATATTGACATGTGAAGTCATCAATAACCGTTGACACAGCCAGGAGTAGACACACCCTTCCTCTCCCTCCTCTTGTTTCAAGCCAATCAAAGAAACATTGCTAAAATAGATTACCCTGCAGCTGCCCAGGCTGGGGATGCCATTTTTAAAACTGGAAAAAAATCAGGGACTTATTCTTTTAACTGAGGATAAAATTAGGACTTTTATTTTTTCGTGGGGACAGCCTCTGGAAACCGGGGGTGTCTGATCACCCTATTTCGGGGGCCCATTTTATATCTGTACACATGTGTAGAGGTGCACTTCTTGGTAGTGTTAGTCAGGTACATTGTCATCTGTCGGTGTGCATTTCTTTTGTGTTGATATTCGTTATTGACACTGGTTGACGTGCGCTGATGATTCTAGTGCATTTTTTTAACAGCCAATACACCAAAGCTTGGTAATACCTGTTGCCAATGCCTCAAAATTCGCAAATATATGCGTTTTTAATGCATTACCATTGACATCCATGGGTCTCCCAGTGTAAAAATGCAGGGAAAAATAACCAATTTCAAACTGTTCAATTCAGCACAGAAGTGAGAGCAAACACTATTTTTATTATAGAGAAGTTGACACATGCATTACAGGGCGTTAGAAGAAAATAAGAAATATGTGTGTGAAACCTAATAATAAACATAAATCTAATGCATTTAAAATGTGTATGTATATGTAGATAGATATGTGTGTATTTTCATAAAGTCCACATATAAGTGCGTGATCATCCAACGCCAAAATATACGTTGAGTTTGCACAATACAGTGCTCACAAAACTCTCGCCTCCAAATTTTGTAGTGAGTGTATAACATGCCGGCCAGATTCCACCAGCTCCTTCTCCTCCAGACCACTAGGGGCTTTTCAATCCTTTCTCACATAGAACCAAAATGGAAGGGAGGTATGGTGCCTTTTTATATTTTAGGTTTAATTATATAGTACCTTGTTTTAGGTGGGTTGTAATTTTAATAATGTAAGCACAATAGGAGTATAATATTTATTTTAAAAAAATTTCTTCTGTGGATCCTAATAAAATGGCTGCAGATTGCTTCATGTTCTAAAAATCCATAGGAAAAATAGCCACCGTAAAAAAAATTAAATGCAAGTGCTACAACAAAATGGCCACCGGAATCCACTACACCTATTTGAGTATTTAAGGACATGTAGTCTGCCTACCGTTTCCCCTGATGAAGTCATGTGATAGTGACGCAACGCGTAGGGAAAACAGAGGTGGACGTGAACTGGAAGTGACTTCATGTGGAAGCGCTTATTGAGATCTCAACAATAGAAGTGATTTGCTTATCTTGTAAAATGAGTGCAATACTTTATTTTAATAGATACTGGAATTTTAATCTTACTACACTATAAGAGGTGTATTGCTCTCTCTTTCTATCTATATCTATATATGTGCAAGCAAGGTGAAGGCGATGGTATGAATGCATAAGAGGTTTAAAGGCACCATACCTCCCTTCCATTTTGGTTCTATGTGAAAGGATTGAAAAGCTCCTTGTGGTCTGGAGAAGGCGGCAGGAGGAGTTGGTGGAATCTGGATGGCATGTTATATACACACGATGATACAAATTTTGGAGGTGAGTTTTGTGAGCATGGGGGTGGCACTGTATTGTGCGAAGTCAGCAAGGTGCACATATATTTTGGTGCTAGTTAATAAAAGCCACTTATAAGTGTGTGATTATCCAACGAATTTATAGTATGTTGAAATACATTAGATATATATTTGTTCTATGTTTTAGTTCTGTAACGTCACACATAATTAGGATATTGGCAGCACAGCATCATTCACCAGATAATTCATATCAATCCAACATCGCAGCTAGAGGAGATGGCATACATGCCATGGCGCATTGCTTCTCAAAAAAATTTATACCACAGATTGCATTTTCCAAACAGTCCTGCCACCAAACGCAACCCATTTGAGTGTATGGAGCAGCACTGCAGCTGCTCCGCAACCGTGTACTGCATATGGTTGTGCAGTGCTGCAGGCTTTTTCCTCCCAGCTGCCTATCATCAACTTCCCTCGAAAAAATGGGTCCACCATGGGTTGCTTTTCTGGGCGTAGCCCTGGCAATGACTGCAAGAGTAAACAAGCCTTAAAAGCTGAAGTCCAAGCTAATAAAAATCATCATTTTTCATACATCAGAGTTAGAAGTAAACCCTTAGGGAGTATTGATCTAGAATTAAAATTCCCGCTGCAGTTAGTGCCCGAAATTTGACTTTTATATAAGTTCAGATTTCTGAGAAAAGCAGTGAGTCAAGCAGGAAATTACATTTCTGAGGACCTCTAGGGTGCCATATTGCATTTAATTTTTTTTCACTTCTAAAAAATTTGTGGCTTCAGATTTGAGCTTTTTAATATGCTTAAATACAAAGTCTGAAGGGGAGATGGTTGGTTTTTAATGGTGACTAGGAATATCTATATGGTTTTAACATGTTCAATAAATGCTCATTATGGGGACATGGCTGATGTTTTGGCTTGCTTTTTTATTTTTGGTGTTTTCTAAAAAAAAACATTTTATGCTTTTGCTTGTGGCTGGCACAGTATATCTACTAGAACTCTGGACTTGTAGGGTTTGTTTGTAAGCCTCAAATATGTGGGAGGGCAAACTATAAAATGGCTTTTGTGGCAATTTTATGCTATATTCTATTTTTAACAAAAGTGGAATTCTTTTATATGACATCCTGTTCGGGAAAATCTGTTATAACAGGAACTTACTGCTGGCCACTTTAAGATGCTAGATGCCTGGCTGTCATGCTGATCCTTAGCCTGATTTCTGATTTTTTTTTTTTTTTTTTTTTTTTTTGGTTACTCTAACGGACTTGCCATTACTATATCAACAGTAAGGAAAAGAAAAGCACTGTCCGTCAACTGGCTGCAAACACATTTAGAATTTTTAGAAAATACATACAAGGTTTTTCTGTAAATTTTGGGTTAAAAAGAATTGCTTAATTAAAGTGAACATGCACTCCATTTTAACCTCTTCACGCCGGCCGCACACAAATGTGTGGCCTCCTGGCGTCTGGGCCTAGACGCCGAGTGGCCGCACATGTGTGCAATTAAGAAAAACAAACATATGTGCTGAGAGCACATGCTCCCAGCACACATGTCCGGTATTCACGGAAAGGTCCCAATCTCCTCTTTTGATTGGGACCTTTCCCGATCATGTGACGGCGAATCACGGTGGATGCATGACCCTAAAGCCCCGCCTCCCAGCTCTGAAACACTTAAAGGGCTAAGAGGTGCCGGTGCCAAGGGGTTCAGTCTGTCAGCCTAACCCATTGCAGCTACTGCCTTTGTTAGCCAGAAAAACCCCTTTGGGTGAATTCTTATCTTGACTTTGTTGGAACCTGTCTCTCCTTGTCTTCATGACTTAAAGCCCTGATCATTTTCTTTCAAGCGTCCAATCAGTAGGGATGTGCACAATAGAAAAATGTTTTTTGGATTCATTCATAAAGTTAATCAATTCGGTTTGTCGCATTCATTTTATGTTAGAATGATTCAATTTCAGAATTGGTTTCTTATATTCAGATTTGTTTTTTATATTCTGAATCGATTCGTATTTTTGGAATATTGGCTATATTCATTTTAATGTGTTAATTTCATGAGATTACTTATGCACTCCATTCAATCCAAACAAAGTACTTTTTCTACCTTGCTGTATTTATTGCAATATGTTTCTATTTCATATGTAGTGCATTTTTTTTTTTTTATTATGAAAAATGTTAATGCAAAAAGAATTGGTTGGTTATCCAAGAGTCAGACTGCTGTGCAGCTCTCATCCAAATAATACGAAAGGATCCAAATTAATTTGGATCATTCGTTCTGTTGTTACTTTATTTCAGATGCTTCACACAGAGTGGAGTTCCACCTGAAAAAATAAAGTCGGCAGCTACAAAAGCTGTAGCTGTTAAAATACAGACACTTGCTGTCCCTCAGTCCAGCTGTGTCCTCACCACCGCTGGTTTCACTGGATGTTGTCTCTCCCGGGTGCCCACTGCGCATGAGGGAGAAGTGCTGCGCTTTGTGAATGGCCCCGTAGTCTTCTGGGACCTGTCACGTGTCCCAGAAGACTATAGGGTGGACAACCTCCAATCGCCTAGGCAATCGCAGCGAATGTGGGTGCGGGTACCTGTCAAATTCGGGTACCCACTCCCCAAAGGTGTCAGTCCTTAATGGGGAGCGGGGGACAGCCTTAAAGTGTAACTTCCCCTTTCGGGTGGTGCTCCGCTTTTACGAAAGGCCCCAAACTATTGCATCATGTCATACAAATGAATACAAATTTGTTATTTATTTCAGATTCGCTGAAATTCGTTACTATTGTGATTCAGATCGGATACATCCGAATCTCTGAATAACGAAAAGTTTTGTTCGCATTTCAATTCGCATCAAAATGAATCACTTGTGTCTACCAGTCAGATTGTCTACTGATCAGCTGCCAAAGTCACCTTTTTATTGGAAAGGGAATGCTGAACATAATTTTTTTTTGTTTTGCATAGATATTCGCAAGACTCTACCGGTCAAACAGGATACTTCATAAAAAATGTTTTATTTGTTTGGAGATTAATTCCAAACCGGTATCTAGTCTAATGTATTACAAGAACATGAATATATGACTTATATGAAACTATTCTAAACCATATCCTTGAGGAAAAAAAATGCCAATTAACAAGGTTTTAAGTGCATTTGTGGATTCTAATGGCTGGGATGATGGGTGTGAGGAGCCATCACTGTACGTATATGGACATCCAGTGGTTACAATTTTTGCCACTTGAACCTGGCCCTATATTCACCTTGCCTAAACTCCCTCAACACTCCGTACTGGGTTGTAGCCAATACTGAAATCTGCAATGTCGGAGACCTTGAGGAGCCATGACATTACTCCCTCAGTCACTCAACAGTGTTCATGCCTTGTACTTGGCAGCTAGGTGTGACTACAGTCATGGGAGGGAAGCCACATTCTCCTACATATGCAGAAGAACCAGGTAGTGTTGCTGGCTGCAATGGAGGAAAAAGTGAAAAGGAAGTGCAGGAATCTGGCATAGTAACCTTTTAGGAGTATAAGGGAGTTGGGTTGTGGGGAGGGGGTCCTGCATGGGCAAGGTGACGGTTTTTCCTAAAGCAGGGGTGTCAAACTGGTGGCCCTCAGGCTGTTGCCAAACTACAAGTCCCATGAGGCATTGCAAGACTGACAGTTACAAGCATAACTCCCAAAGACAGAGGCATGATGGGACTTGTAGTTTCAGAACAGCTGGAGGGCCACCAGTTTGAAAGCCCTGTCCTAAAGGGTTAGGCTTTAGGAAGTAATCTTAAGTTAGATGTTTGATCAGGTTAAGCATTGAGTGTAAGGGTCAGGATGGGAATGTTTGGGTGGGGGGGTGAGGGATAGTTTTAGGGGTAAGGTTAAGGACCTTGCCAGGTTATAAGGGGTAGATTATAGGTGGTGATTGAGTGCTTTTATTGACATTAAAAACCCTGTGCCAAACATAACCAGTTTTAAAGTGCAATGTACAATTTACAAAATGGCAAATTTATAAGTTGGGTTTTTTTCCAAATGCAAGTTTTTATCCTGATACATTTCTTTTAACTTAAAATTATTACTATTCTTGTTGAGAATACCTGGAGTCTTCTGCTTAAAAATTAAATCAAGAACTACTCTAATTTTGGAGTGTTTTTTGCCAAAATGTTTAAAAAAAAAAAAAAAAAAAAATTTCTTTTATATCTTTCAGATATGGTATTTTTTAACACCCACAGAACCGGTTGGCACGAGACTCATATGGCATTTGACATAAAAAACAATATCTACATTCAGTGGAAGAAACATGGACATCCATTTGTAGCTCCGACCTTCTACAACGTCAGAGATCACGCCTACATCGCCAATGAACTCGATCGGCTTGGTGGCGGCTCCAACACAATAGTTGTGATAGGTATAGGACAGCACTTACGGCCCTTTCCTTGTTCCCTTTTCATCAAAAGACTTTTCAACATACGAAGGGCCATAGAGAACTTGTTTTTACGAAGTCCGGATACAAATGTTATCATAAAGTCTGAGAACACCAGAGAGTTTAACCCTGACGTAGAGCGATTCAGTAACTTTCATGGTTATATTCAGTACCTCTTATTAAAGAGAATTTTTAGAGGACTTAATATCGGGATGATAGATGCTTGGGACATGACCACAGCATTTGACTCTAGAAACGCCCATCCACCGGAGCTTGTTGTTGAGAGTCAGATCAACCTGTTTTTGTCATATATCTGTTAAAGGAAAAGTTTGTGCTTAGTTAAAATAAAATTACGTATTCACCTCTATGATGTAGCGCTGGTGTCCCATGCTACCATTAAGACTGGGAACTGAGAGATTAAATGATCACTGATCACTCAGCTCTCAGGTTTGCTTGCAGTTGAAAGTAGTAACCGCTGTCCACTCTGCTTCTCCAGAGGTCACTGGAGTACCAGACTGGAGAGGAAGTGGGTGCAGCTGGCTCTGCCCTCAGGCTCTTGAGGTGAAAGCAAGAGGCAGATGTCAATCAGGCAGCTGGGTGGGTCCTTACATGGGCGAGGTGACAGTGTCTCTTAATGGTTCAGGTTAGGTTTAGGCTTTGGGAAACAAGATAACGTTAGATATTAGGTGTTAGATCAGATTTAAAGTGACAAACTCCAGTTTAAAAAAACAAATGTATATTCTAGGTATTCTTGGCTCAAAGTACTTTCTGTTGCTTTTAGCCATTTCCATATTTCTTTTTATTTTTTCCTGTGGTCTGTCTTCCTGTTACAATGTGGCTATGTTCATTCTTTGTGGTCCCACTGTGTATAGGAACATAGACACCTTCTCTTGCTTGCACCGAGATGGCCTATGGGATGGTGTAGTGTGCACAGACATTCAGTCACTGCTGTCCGCTCTTCTCCAGAGCTCACTGGGGTACCAGGCTGGACAGGAGGTGGGTACAAAGGTCTCCGGCTCGCAGCCGCAGGATGAAAGGCAGAGCCAGATGTCAATCAGGCAGATGCATCGATCCTGACAAAATTGTCAGTATGTTCACTGATCCTGGCACAACTTTGGCCCATCAACTGATACGGAACAATAGCCTGCTGACTGGATCACAGGAGAACAAAAGTAAATGTACATCTGTCATCCTCAGGAGTATGAACAAACAAAGCTTTGGCTATACTTCTTTTAAATATATGTTTTACATTTGTTGTACTTTGCCAGGATTTCACCAAGAAATATAGAATTAAACCATGAAAAACAGTGAAAAGTCCCACTTACGGTATATTGTAGATATATGGATGATTTTGTATCTGCTGTAGGATCTGTTTGTTTTCTCCATAGCCATTCTTGGCTTACAAAGCCATGTCAGACAGTCAGGTTGGTGACACCAGTTTCCTCTTCTACAGATACGTACTAGTTAGGTCACTTGCCTGTGACTGAACTGTGAAGGGACAAAATCAGGCTGGATAGGCTCATCTTTCTGTTGACTCTGCCCTTTTCTCCTATCCGCATGTTCCTTATCAGTACATGTGCTTGCAGCACTCCCAATCGGCTTGTCACCCGAATTTAAATCTACAGTAGATTACATTAGGCTGATAGTTAGTCACTTCAAGTTTTTTATTAAAAGTCAGCAGCTACAAATACTGTCAGGTGCTTACCAGTCCATGGATTTAAGCGCTGTCTTCCTGAAGCCAGTTCTTTGTACAGCTGAGTCCCTAGTGCCGCCATCTTGGATTTGGAAGCTTGACTTCTGGATGGATCACAGTCTGCTTCCCACTGCACATGTACAAGATCGTGCAGCACATGGACAGTGTTCCTGTAACCTTCTGGGATGTGTCCCAGGAGGCTGTGGACAGGGAAGGGATGGGACGTGTGGTGTCATCCTCACCTAGGTGAGGACTGAGTAAGCGGATTCGGGTACCAACAAATACCAATACTCTCCCTCCCCATAAAAAAAAAAACTGCTTTTAAGTACACTAGCTGCATTGAAAAATTAACTTCATTAAATGGTGTTCATATCTGCCGGAATTTCAGAAACTGTGACTTGGGTTTTATTTACATTTGTATTTATTGGTGTTAAGGAAATTCTATGTTCAGTGTTGCACTTTGCTGAAAAATGCCTCCAACTCAGTCTAAGTGCAGCCAAAAAAAGATCAAAAATAAGCACAAGAGTCACAATTTACAGTCCAGTAAAATGTGTCCCTTGTGTTGATGTCTCTTCTATTAATTGAAATCTTCCTCCGTCCTATGGCTGAAACAAGATTTAAGAATTGAGGGCGGGGGGATGGCTGAAAGATTCTAATGCTTGAAAGCAAATGTTCAATAGCTATGTACTGTGTATAATTTCTTTATATATTTATTATGTAAGGGTCTATCGGTGTTAAATGTTTTTTCTAAAATTGCTGCTTTAAATTGAAAAGATACTGTATAAAATATTAGTTTGTTTAAAAAATTTCTAAAAATGTTTAAACTGATTATTTTATCTTTTAAAGTGACCAGGTCAGCACAGGGTCCCTGCTGCTCATAGCACCACCTGTAAAAGACAAAATAATATACTTCCCTTTCCGGAAGCCCATGTATTGAATACCTGCTGCACCTTTGCTTCACAGCTGCTGCAAGTATTTGGCCGTTGGACGAGTTCAGTACTTTCTTCCCCTCTGCCAGTTGCTTTGGTTCCTCTCGCTGGCTCGTATATGATATCCAAGCCAGCGGGGGCAACCACAGAAGTTGGCGAGGGAACAAGTATTTAAATCGATTTCAAGGCTTTTCAGTACGTCGGCCACTAATATTCTACATGGAATACATGGTGCAGCCAGGGAGTGGAAAGGCAAGTATATTCATTTGTTTTGTTTTGTTTCTTTTACAAGTGGTGGCTTTTTAAATAAGAATGATCCAGTTGTGACATAGACACTTTAAGTGGTGCACACATTAAAAAATTAACAAAATAAAATAGTTTTTGATTTAATTCTTTGTGTGGGTTTTTTTTTTTTTTTTTTTTGTTTTTTGTGTTTTTTGTTTTCTTTCCCCCTGAGGAAGCTAATACAGCACTTGCCCGCGAAGGAGCCGATGATAGATTGGTCCCCTGGTTCCAGATGACCCTTCTGGTTGTTTATACTATGTATAATATATCCATAGCTGGAAGTCCTCCTTTTAAACTGCTAAAAAAAAAAAAATGTTCCTGCAAATCAATGTCATTATGTGCTTCATTATTATGACAGGTACTTGTATAGTGACATCAATTTACACAGTGCTTTACATATATATTGTACATTTACATCAGTCCCTAACCCTCAAGAAAAATACAATATCTAAGGTCCTGAACTCACATTTCATACATGTAAAGCTGTGATTGGCCCACAGCCATCACATTTTAAAACACTAAGCAAGAAGTCCTAAATGAAAACCATTCATAACTGTTTTTTATATCGTAATCGTTTGATCACTATGACCAATCATAGTGATCACATGATACCCTGGTCATCTTTACAAATCTTGCTTTGACATATCAATGTTTCCTATGTCCTTACAATGCTGACTTCGATATGATCTTGCTATGGCATCAAAATTCTGTTACATCATTGTACTCATCATGATATTATACTGACTTCTGCATCTTCAAACTTTTGAAATCTCGCTACTCCATGGGGCACACAATAGCAACTATAACGTAACAGTGCCAACCATGACACTAAAATGCTTGCTACAGATTTGTTCCTGGTCAGTGACTCAAAATATTAAAACCAGAGACAAACTAGCAGCTAAAATTTTTAGAGGGAAGTCAGTGATTTGGTTTGATTTATAAAAGTTATATGACTGAAAGATGTACTGTATATTGATTGCTGTTGGCTACTGCATTTTGCACTTTCTATAACCTTTAAAATTACTAGATGTCTTTTTGAACATGTTGTAGTTATGTCAACATCTAATTCTTTCCCAGACACAAAGTAAAGAGCAACCTTCCCCGAAACACATTCACGACTTTGACCATTGTAAGCAACAACTGTGACTTTTATTTTCCATTGTTTTGATTGTGATGAGAGAGCAGTCTCTCAACCTTTTTCGAGACAGAGGAACCCCTACGATAACTTGCAAGTCTCAGGGAACCCCTGAGATGTATCTACAACTCATGATCCATCAATGTGATCACCAGTGAGGAGAATGTGTTCCTTTATACTTGTGGTCAATGGGAAGAATCCTCCATAAAGATAGCTAAATAGATTAAAGGTGTCAGTGGGAACTTATCCGAGAGGCAGAAATTGCTCAAGGAACCCCTAACCACCTCTGGAGGAACCCTATGGTTCCATGGAACCCTGGTTGAGAAACACTGATATACACAAGGCTGTCATATGCACTTATTGGCATCCAAAGTAATAATGTAGTATTATAGATATGTTACCTGATTTTTGTAACTTGCATCTTGTTAGTTTTTGGAAACAGGAAAGCAGGTTGGGCCAAAGTGAGCTTAATGTCCTTTCTGCCTGTAATCGGTAGGTTGAGATGTTCCTGCAAGATGCACCTTAACAGATTGGAAGTTAGAGACCCTGTTGACAACAAAAATCTTCCTATAAGATATGGCATTTAACATTTTTTTTTTTTTTTTTTTGCTTGTTAAAGCCTCCCTTGTGTAGACCTCCAAATTCTGGATCTTGGCAGCCCCAGCAGACTCACTGTCACTCAAGTAACATTCTGTAGTATTCCCCTAATACTCTATAGTATTCCCCTTCACTCTACCTCCAGCAGCACCCTAAAACTTTATGTAGGAAAGTGAAGTGAGGGATTGAAGGAGACTGAAGAGCTGGGCCAGCACAGACAGTAATTGAACATTCCCAGAACAGGAGCCAGGTTGTTGTGCTAGGGAACCGATTTCATCCTAGAGTGGTCAAATGTTCTAGAAAGTTCAAAAATTGTCACGTCAATAAAAATTATTTATGGGAAGAAAAACTGTAAGCACTTTTACCTGCAATTTCTTACACTGGTGACAATCTTTTTAAACTTTGTTTCCTTTTTGACAAGGTGCTGGCTGCTAGTTGTCAGACCCAGTTGTCGCTGAAAGCCCTGCTCCCCGCTAATGATCAGAAATCAATCACAGTGGTTTTTTATCATGTCCTTGTACAGTACTCTGCCTTAAAGTGCACTTTAAAGGCATAGTACTGCACAAGGACATGATAAAAAAAAAATAATTCATAAATGCATCGAAAACCAGTTAATCCGTTCGTATTGCGAAAAAAAATTTGTAAACCGAGGTATGCCTGTATTGCACTTTGATATATGTGGTATTTGATATTGATTGCACATTTTGCACTTTTTGTATATACAAGCACTAGCACTGTCCTCCTATACACGCAAAAAAAAAAAAAAAAATCTTATTTGATGTTATATATCTGTAGCATAGCAGCTGTGTATTATTTTTTTTTTTAATTTTTGGAGGTTAGTTTGAAAATACTGGGGCGTGGATTTGTAAATCTTTTAAACTGTAGAATTATAATATTTCTATTTTAATGCAACAGTGTGCCACAGAATTATAGAAGTCTTTTTCAGTCTAAGAAGCTGTGACTACTACATGGAAAAAAACATTTTTTTTCTTCTGGCTGTTGTGCTGTTTACCATCTTGATTATAAGCTATACAGTGCACCACTCCACAAAGGTACTAATCGCTCAAATTGTTAAAGTCTAAACCAGGGGCGGACTGACAACTCATGGGGCCCCCGGGCAATAGGGGATCATGAGGCCCCTGTTTCCTTGCCCAAACTCAAAAAAGCCTATGAAAAAGGTACCAGGGGCATCTCATGGGCCCCCTACTGACCCTGGGCCCTTGGGCAGTGCCTGAGTTTCCAAATGGTCAGTCCGCCCCTGGTCTAAACACTCCTGTATGACAGTCTAAATAAAGTTAACAAAACTTTCTTTACCTTCGCTGACTGAGCCAAATCCTCCTTCTCACATGCTCCCCCTTACAGACACTGCAGGTCACAGTGGGAGGGATTTAGCACCACAGGCAGTGCTGTCAATCCAAAAAGCAGTGGATGGCTAGGTATGCCCAGGTTCTGAATTACTATAGGCTTGTGAATCAGCAGTGACAATTCTGATAACTGTGGTGTGACAACGCTTCTCTGACCTCAGGAGCAGTACAGTATTGTTGCCACACCATCACAGGAAGATGCATTAGGTGGATTTCACTGACAGGCCTAATAAGTATTTGTGGTACTAAAATACTGAAGCACAGATTGTATTTAATAGGAAGCTATAGTTCTACTTTAGGATGTACAGTATGGGAAAAAACAAAACTGTGTTGCAAAGTAGATGTGCTGGACAGGTGCTGTAAAGTACCTCCCCCTATAGGTTGAAACAATGACTCTGTGCTCAAAAATACTGTGCTGGTTCTATAATGCACCTCCCTCCTACAATAGTGACAAAGCTGTACGCTCAAAACGTATAACCTGCATATGATGAAATTAATAATGCTTAAATTCTGCTTTAATGCTTTGTCTCCCGCTCCCCAATAAGGATTGGCACCTTTGGGAAGCGGGTACCTGAATTTGACAGGTACCCTCTTCTGCTGCAAGCGCCTAGGTGATCGGGAGCGGAAGTTGTCCCCCCTCCCAGTAGTCTACTGGCACCCATGACTGAAAGACACCACCACTGAAAGTCATCCTTCCCCACCCATAGATATTTCCCAAAGTCACTTCACACTCCCTTCCCCACCCACTGATTGAGATCCCTCCAAGAACTCCTCCCCCCCCCCCCCCCCCCCGCTGACAGACACTTTTCCGTAGACTTCCCTCCTTGAATAGTCACTCTTCAGTCCCCATAATAACCAATACGCAGTCCCTGGACATCCTTCCCCAACCCTCTACATTCCTCCTTCCCAGATAAGTATCCTTCTTAGCTGGCTTCATTTCCTCCACCCCCCACCTCACCTGACAGACAGACATCCTTGCTGACAACAGGCAAATAAAGTAAACCACCTCCATACCCTCAGAATTCCTTTCTGCCCATACCCCCACACTGTCCATGCCCCCATACCGCCCATGACTTAAAATGGTAGTAGCATTGTACCCATCACTTTCCTCACATCCTTACTCCGAGCATTCTTCTCCTTCACTTACTGCCTTCTGTCTTACACTCCATTCTCACACGTACTGCCCATCATCATTTGGTCCACACTCCTCTCCTGTACGTACTGCCTACTGTCTTACCCTCCACACTCCTCTCCTGTACATACTACCACTGTCATACCCTCCACACTTCTCTCCTGTACGTACTGCCCATTGTCACACCCTTCACACTTCTCTCCTGTACGTACTGCCCATTGTCTTACCCACCACTCTCCTCTCCTGTACATACTGCCCACTGTCACACCCTCCACACTCCTCTCCTGTACATACTGCCCACTGTCACACCCTCCACACTCCTCTCCTGTACATACTACCACTGTCACACCCTCCACACTCCTCTCCTGTACATACTGCCCACTGTCATACCCTCCACACTTCTCTCCTGTACGTACTGCCCATTGTCACACCCTTCACACTTCTCTCCTGTACGTACTGCCCATTGTCTTACCCACCACTCTCCTCTCCTGTACATACTGCCCACTGTCACACCCTCCACACTCCTCTCCTGTACATACTGCCCACTGTCACACCCTCCACACTCCTCTCCTGTACATACTGCCCACTGTCACACCCTCCACACTCCTCTCCTGTACATACTGCCCACTGTCATACCCTCCACACTTCTCTCCTGTATGTACTGCCCATTGTCACACCCTTCACACTTCTCTCCTGTACATACTGCCCACTGTCACACCCTCCACACTTCTCTCCTGTACGTACTGCCCATTGTCACACCCTTCACACTTCTCTCCTGTAGGTACTGCCCATTGTCTTACCCACCACTCTCCTCTCCTGTACGTACTGCCTACTGCCATATCCTCCACACTCCTCTTCTGTACATACTACCCACTGTCACACTCTCCACACTCCTGGAAAAAGTTCTGAAATGATTTGTTCTGGACATCTTTACATTATTATTACATTGCACATTATTACGGAATAAGACTAGGACGCCATGTGCGTGTAAAGGCAGACGTCCCAATACTTTTGGCAATATAGTGTATACATGTGTAATTTTGCAGAGGAGGGCTGCCCTGTAGCAGTAACAATGCTAGAGAGTGGTCCTTAAGTGGTTAAAAAAAGAAAAAAAAAATCCACAAAAATGTCCCTCTTTGAAAATCCATCGTCGATGACAATGCCCACCGGAAAAAGAAACAAAACCTGATGCACATGACCAATCTCGACGGTACTCCTAGCCAGATGACAGCTCCTGGGGAAGGGGTGGAGATGGTGGGGCCCCCGGCCATATTTTGTCACCCCTTTGCTTAGGTGTCAGGGATTCCTGGTGCTGTTGGTGGTTCCCAGGGGGGGTGCAAGTACCTGCGACTTCCCTATGAAGGTGTGACAGCAGGAAGTTGTCATACAGTATATGGAAGTAGCAGAAATATTACTTCTAGGTTTGATTCTCCAATCCTGCTGGACAGGAGTGAATGGTGAAAAGTTTGGGCTTTGGTCAGAAGGGGTGAACAGTAGTCAGCTCATCCCCATTGGCCCGTTGTAGAAGGATTGCATCTTCTCCTCCAGTGACACCGGTCATCTCTATCCGTTGTTCAGGGTGGGAGTATGTATGGCTGCTGCGATGACCGCATAGAAACCTTCATCAGCCTGATGGCCCAGCATACCATTGGGGGTTTTGGGGTTCAGCCAAGTCTTGCAGAGAAAAATGGGTATGAATAAAAAATAAGAAGGTATAAAACAGATGCAAATCCTATGAACGTTCATTGGTTGTACTGGTTATGGAACTACCACAAATGTGTCCAATGTCTGTACGATGCATGCAAGGAATGGTCCCACCTAGAATGCGTGTCTGAAATTTCCATGCCATGTATGCGCAGTAGGCCCTCTAGCAGGCATGCATCACATGTGCGTGTGCGATGGAGCCCTCAAATCCTGTCCCCCTACCAGGCATGGATTCCATTCCCATCTGACAATGGGAAGCTGAGCACATGCATGCCTCACATTTCTGCTTCATCTGTGTGTAGCAACACCGTCCCCCCGCCATGCATGCCTCACATTTCTGCTTCACCCGTGTGCAGCAACACAGTTCCCCCGCCATGCATGCCTCACATTTTTGCTTCACCTGTCTGCAGCGACACAGTCCCCCCGCCATGCGTGCCTCACATTTCTGCTTCACCCGTGTGCAGCGCCACTGTCCCCACGCCATGTGTGTCTCACATTTCTGCTTCACCCGTGTGCAGCGACCCAGTCCCCCCGCCATGTGTGTCTCACATTTCTGCTTCACCCGCGTGTACCGACACAGTCCCCCCCGCCATACATGCCTCATATTTCTGCTTCACCTGTCTGCAACGACACAGTCCCCCCGCCATGTGTGTCTCACATTTCTGCTTCACCTGCGTGTAGCGACACAGTCCCCCCCCCGCCATACATGCCTCATATTTCTGCTTCACCTGTCTGCAACGACACAGTCCCCCCGCCATGTGTGTCTCACATTTCTGCTTCACCCGCGTGTAGCGACACAGTCCCCCCCGCCATACATGCCTCATATTTCTGCTTCACCTGTCTGCAATGACACAGTCCCCCCACCATGCTTGCCTCACATTTCTGCTTCACCCGTGTGCAGCGACACAGTCCCCCCGTCATGCGTGCCTCACATTTCTGCTTCACCCGTGTGCAGCACCACTGTCCCCCCGCCATGCGTGACTCACATTTCTGCTTCACCCGTGTGCAGCGACACAGTCCCCCCGCCATGCATGCCTCATATTCTGCTTCACCTGTCTGCAACGACACAGTACCCCTGCCATGCGTGCCTCACATTTCTGCTTCACCTGTGTGCAGCGACACAGTCCCCCCGTCATGCTTGCCTCACATTTCTGCTTCACCCGTGTGCAGCGACACTGTCCCCCCGCCATGCATGCCTCACATTTCAGACACATACATCGTCTTGTGCATGTGTCATTGTCTGACTGGAGCTCAGACATGCATGTTCTTCTATCTTACAGGGTCCCCTTCACATTTCCATCTGACACAAACACAACTCTCCAAAAACCGTCTCCTCACCATGTATGCCTCACATTTCTGTCCTTCCCTACCACGTATGGTCCTGAAATTCTGTCCTCAATACTGCGCATGCATCAAACTGTGTCCTGACTCATGCGCAGTAAGGTTCCAAAATTGCATCCACCTAATACACATGCGTAAAACCGTGGCCAATGCATGTGCATGTGCAGTAAGGTCCTGAAACTCTGTCCCCCTACTCTGCATGCGTCAGACCATATATTGACATATATTTTAAATGCTACAATTTTGGCCACATTCAATATATTTCAAAATATATTTCAATAAAAAAAAAAAATATATATATATATATACTGCACGTTGAAATGCGTTTTTATTACAAAATATATGAAAAATATTTGTAAAAAGTACATTTCAAATATACTGTATGTCTTTAAAAAAAACAAATCTACATTTTTGGAATGCATTTACAAATATATGTAGAAATATATGTTAAAATTACTTTTTTTATATGTTAAAAAAAATCTGAAGAATGTATTTTTCATATATTTTGTAATATATTAAAAACGCATTTCAACATACAGTGTATATGTGTGTATGTATGTATGTATGTGTATATATATATATATTATTATAAATATATTTTTGAAATATATAAATTGAATATGGCCAAAATTGTAGCATTTCAAATATATGTCAATATATTTGGGAAGAATGTTTTTAAAATATATTTCAAATATATTTTTCTTCCATGTGGGCATATGACATTGTAAATGAGTACTGCTAGGTACAACATACAGCCACCGTGATTTTTAACCTGTCATTGATTTTGACAGGCTGCTGGCTTTATACTGCACCTGTGGCTCTCAGAACGCCTTTTTTTTATGCTGTATAGGCTAAACCATAGTACATCAGGCCAAAAAGTGAAAACAGTGTGACAAATTGGGCATGACTAGATTAACAAGAAAACAGAAATAAGTTTTGCAGTTTTCACAGAGTGCTGCAGCAAATGTTCCTACTACACATCCCAGAATTCCTTGAGGTGCGTGCATAGGCGTTGACATTACAGCTTCCGGCTCTGGCTGACGCATTTCGTCATAAATGACAAAACTTAGTGCCCTTGATGACGTAGTTTATGATGAAATGTGTCAGGTGGAGCCGGAGGCCGTAACGTCAACACCTATGCACACACTTCAAGGAATTCTGGGATGTGTAGTTTCCTATATGCCTGTATGTAGAGCATCCATGAGATGGTTTTAACCTCTTTTGATATTAAAAATATACCGGATTTACGCTATTAGAGCGTTATTCTGTTTCATCTTTATATACCATGTATCAATACCGCCTATGCAAATGAGAGATACTCACTAGGAAGGTGCCATACTGTGTGGTGATTGCCTTTTGGACTGACATACAAACGGTGTATGACTTCTCATATGAGGATCACAGGCTCTCTGGTAAGCCTCAGAGTGGTTGGTAAAGCACATGTGGTGTTTTTGGATATATACACATTGCCAAAAATATTGGAACACCCCTCCAAATCATTAGATTCAGGTGTTCCGATCACCTCCATGGTCACAGGTGTATAAAATCATCACCTAGGCATGCAGACTGCTTCTACAAACATTGGTGAAAGAATGGGTCGCTCTCAGGAGCTCAGTGACACCAAGCGTGGTCCTGTGATAGGTTGCCACCTGTGCAATAAGTCCATCCGTGACATTTCCTGGCTACTAAATATTCCACACTCAACTGTTAGTGGGATTATAACAAAGTGGAAGCAACTGGGAACAACAACAACTCAGCCATGAAGTGGTAGGCCACATCACATGACAGAGCGGGGTCAGCGCATGATGAAGCGCACAGTGTGCAGAAGTCACCAACTGTCTGCAGAGTCAATAGCGAAAGACCTCCATACTTGGTGTGGCCTTCAGATTAGTACAACAACAATGTGTAGAGATCTTCATGGAATGGGTTTCCATGGCCAAGCAGCTGCATCCAAGCCTTACATCACCAAGTGCAATGCAAAGCGTCGGATGCTGTGGTGTAAAGCACGCTGCCACTGGACTATAGAGCATGGAGACGTGTTCTCTGGAGTGATCAATCACACTTATCTGTCTGACAATCCGATGGATGTGTCTGGGTTTGGCAGTTGCCAGGAGAACGGTACTTGCCTGACTGCATTGTGCCAAGTGTAAGGTTTGGTGGAGGGGGATTATGGTGTGGGGTTGTTTTTCAGGGATTGGGCTTGGCCCCCTAGTTCCAGTAAAGGGAACTCTTAAAGCATCAGCATACCAAGACATTTTCGACAACTTCATGCTCCCAACTTTGTGGGAACAGTTTGGGGATTGCCACAAGAAAGAGAGAGAGAGAGAAAAAGAGCGCGAAAACGAAAGAGAGGGAGAAAAAAAAGAGAGAAAAATTCCAGTATATAGACCATAGTTTGGAGGCACTATAACGTTTACGCAAACCAATTGAATTACACTTATTGAGATTTTTTTTTATCAAAGACATGTTACAGAATACATTTTGGCCAAAATGAAGAAATTTTATTTTTTTCAAATTTATTGGATATGAGAAAGAAAACACAGAGAGAGAAAGAAAGAAAGAATAGGAGAGAGAAAGAGAGAGAGAAAAAGAAGGAAAGAGAGGAAAGTGAAGTAAGGGAGGGAGGAAAGAAAGATGGAAAAAGAGAAAAAAAGAAAAAGAAGGAAGGAAGGGGAAACAGAGAGAGAGAGAAGGAATGAAGGGGAGAAAGAAAGAGAAAGAAAGAAAAAGAAAGAAAGAGAAGGAAAGACAGGAAGGAATGAAAGAGAGAGAGAATAAGGAAAAGGAAGAGGGAAGGAGAGAAAGAAGGAAGGAAAGAGAGGAAGAAAGAGAAGACAGAGAGAGAAAGAAAAATGATAGAAAAAGGAGAGAGAGAAAAAGAGAGAAAGAAACAATTAGAGGGAGAGAGAAAAGGAAATTAAAATGAAAGAGAGAGAAAAAAAGAGGATCAGAGAAAGAAGGAAGGAAGGAAAAAGAAAGAGAGAGAAGACAGAGAGAAAGAAGGATGGAAAGAGAGAGAAGGAAGGACGTAAAGGAAGGAGAGAAAGAAAAAACAGAGAGAGAGGAAAAAAGAAGAGAGAGGAGAGAGAAAGAAGGAAAGAAAGAGAAAAGACACAAGACTCCCGGGGAATGTGGGCGGATCAGACACAAGAGGAGAGGGCGGGAGGAGGAAGGGCAGAACCAGCTTTCTCTCTCTCCCATCTGTGGTGGGGGGGGGAGATTGTCAGCACTGGGGACAATCTATCCTGACCAGGGACGGACTGACCATTTGGAAACTCGGGTACTGCCCGAGGGCCTGGGATCAGTAGGGGGCCCCATGAGATGCCCCTGGTACCTTTTTCATAGGCTTTTTTGAGTTTGGGCAAGGACACAGGGGCCCCATGATCCCCTATTGCCCGGGGGCCCCATGAGTTGTCAGTACGCCCCTGATCCTGACAGATACCCCACAGCAGCTGCAGGGAGGGGGGGGACCCCAGTGGCAGTGAGCGGGAGATGGGGGGGGGGGGGCCGTGGAGGGAGCATACAGGAGCCCACAGCAGCAGGAGATAATAGGAGTGGAAGCCGCGCGGCACATAGAGGAGACCGTCCATTTATGCAGCCAAGAAGCATTCAGTGGCAGCAGGAGAGAAATGCACGGTCCGCTTCCTCTATGTGCCGCCTGGCCGCCTCTCCTATCCAGGCGGCCCTGGCCCACCAGGCAAATGCCCAGTGTGCCCTATGGCCAGTCTGGGCCTGATTGTATCTCTCTCCTTGCAGAGAGAAAAATCAACAAAATAAATAAATAAATCCCGGCCCTAATTAGTGCTAATAATAGGCTGTTTTACCAACGCTTGCCAAACGCCCCTATAGCGTTTGGCAAGCGTTGGTCCGGTGTTTGTGGGGCGTTATTAACGCTCGGCAAACGCTCCGCAAACGCCGCATGCGCGGTTTAGTGGCGGTTGCTAGGCGTTTGCCAAGCGTTAATAACGCCCCACAAACGCCTATAATACAGTTTGAGTGGTGTTACCGCTCCGCAAACGCCTCGAAACCGCGTCGCAACCGCACCGCAAACGCCGGCTGGGTGTTTGCGGAGCGGCACCATAGACGAGAATAGGAGGCTTCAAAGCCCCTGACTCGACCAGAGGCGTCCGTTTTGCCGCGACGCAACGCAAACGCTCCCGTTAGAATAGCACCATGTGCTGTAATGTGCAGAATTGGCAGAGGCGTTTGGGAAGCGGTAAAAACGCTTCCCAAACGCCTCTCTGCCGCCTGCACACAAGGCTAGTGTGAACGTAGCCTAAGTCCCAAACTTTCCCTCCTTCTTTCTTTCTTTCCCTCCTTCCTTTTTTCACTTCTTCCTTCTTTCTTTCCCTCCTTCCTCCTCTCTTTCTATATGTCTCTCTCTGTCTACTGTTTCTCCCTTTTTCTTTCTTTCTTTCCCTCCTTCATTTTTTTCCCTCCTTTGTTTTCTTTTAAACTTCTCTTTCTCTCTCCTCTTTTTCTTTCTTTGTTCCTTTCTTTCTTTTTCTCTTCTTTACCTCCTTTCCTTCCTTCCCTCCTTCTTTCCCCCTTTCTTCCCCTCCTTCCTTCGTTCGCTCTTTTCTTTCCCTCCTTCATTCTTTCCCTCCTTCCTTTTTTCCCCTCCTTCTTTCTCTCCTTCTCCTTCTTTCTTTCCCCCATTCTTTCCCTCCTAATTTTCCCCTTTCTTTCCCTGCTTCCTTTTTTCTTCTTCTTTCTTTCTCTCCTTCCTACTTTCCCTCCCTCCTTCTTTCCCTCCTTTCTTTTTCTTCTTCCTTCTTTCTTTCTATACGTCTCTTTTCTCTCTGTCTACTGTTTCTCTCCTTTCTTTCCCTCCTTCCTTTTTTCCCTCCTTCTTTCTTTCTCTCCTTCCTTCTTTCTTTCTATACGTCTCTCTTTTCTTTTCCTTCTTTCTCTCCTTCCTACTTTCCCTCCTTCCTTTTTCCCTCTTTCTTTCCCTCCTTCCTTCTTTCTCTCCTTCCTTCTTTCTTTCTATATGTCTCTCTTTCTCTCTGTCTACTGTTTCTCTTTCTTTTCCTTCTTTCTTTCTCTCCCTCATTCTTTCTTTCTTCTTTCCTTTTTTTCCCTCCTTCTTTCTTTCTCTCCTTCCTACTTTCCCTCCTTCCTTTTTCCCTCTTTCTTTCCCTCCTACTTTCTTTCCCTCCTTCTTTCTTTCTCTCCTTCCTTTTCTTTCTTTCTACTGTTTCTCTCCTTTCTTTCCCTCCTTCCTTTTTCCTTCTTTCTTTCCCTCCTTCCTTCTTTCTCTCCTTCCTACTTTCCCTCTTTCTCTCCTTCCTTTCTTTCTTTCTATACGTCTCTCTTTCTGTCTACCGTTTCTCTCCTTTCTTTTCCTCATTTTTTCCATCAGTTTTTTCTTCTGTTTACCTCCGTTTTTTTCATATTTTTTTCTTCCATTTACATCTGTTTTTTCTTCCGTTTACATCTGTTTTTTCATGTTTACATCTGTTTTTGGTCTGTTTATATCTGTTGACATCCGTTTGGTTTTTTTTTGTGGAAGAAAAATTGGGTTTTCTCCCGTTCAAAAAAACGGATGTTAATGGATGCGGACGTTAACAGATGTAAAAAGATGTTCATCCGTTTACATCTGCTAGTCCACGGAAATACATGGAGGTCTGTTTTTCATCCGTAAATGGACATATGAGACACGGACATACAGAACGTCGTGTGAAGGGGCCTCAGGAAGCAGCATATCGCCTCACACCTGTTTGTATACTGCCTTCTGAAAAGCGATTCACGGCGTCAACCCTGACTGGACGACTTTATCCATGTTAACTGACGTCGACACAGCGAGTCATAAGAGAAGAAGATGAGAACACGTTTTATTGTTTGCATTGTACACACGCTGGCCTGTCTTACACCGGGTTATATATCGGTTCTCTGGATCTGCAGAGCATCACTTCACAGGGACACGGTAAGTAAAACATGCACATGCGCACTGTGAACCTAGAGCGGCGGAGACGCGCTCACTAGCTACGCCCACGTGCACACAGCCTTCTCGTCAGCTGGCCCCTCCCCCGTGCGGTGTATTATGGGAAGCAGATTTGAACAGTCGCGGGCAGTCTAAGGCGGCGATTATTCTTCTCTCCGGCCTTCCACTATGGCTTATATGGAGCCGGGACGCTGGAGTGCCGGTTACAGTAGTTTTTCGGCTGCTCGGGAGGAGACGGACAGTACCCGGCTACAGGAGAGGTGACATGTGCTGTTCTAGGGGGAGACCTAACACTCCGCTATATTCACTACACTGTGCCGCAGCCACCAATCACAGTTCAGCGTGCTGGAGACAGGCCGGTATACGATGGCTTCTGATTGGTTGCTATGGGTTACTGGGCTGAAAAAGATTCTCTGGCCATTCAGGAGGATGTGATAGGTTCTCTTCACTGCAGATATCCTTCCTGTGCTGCCCACTATCTGGAACTTCCGGGTATGGGGGATCATGTGACCTCCTTCTTAAAGGAGAACAATCGGCAAAACTTATTTTTCATTATAAAGTAAGGAGAGGGTATTACCCCCGTCATCTGTGTCCCCTGGGTGAGAAGTCCCTTTACTTCCTGTCCTATAACCAAAACAGGAAGTGAGGGGCAATCCCTGTAAAGTTGTCACCAGAAGTGTCCCCATTGGAAGATTTCCCTGCTAAGGCTAGTTTGGTTCTTTCACTTTCAGTATTAACAGTTAACAGGACAAATAGGGGGAATCTCCCTAACGGGGGTCACAGACAGTGTTTACAGCGGAGCTCCACTCAAAAGGGGAAGTTCTGTATAAAACCTTTGTCCTCCCCCGCTCCCCATTAAGGATTGGCACTTTTGGGGAGGGGGTGTGGGTACCCGAATTTGGCAGGTACTCCCACTTCCTCTGTGATCACCTAGACTTTTGGAAACTAAAGTTGTCCTCCCATCGGCCATTATGTGGCACGGCACATGTGTGTAAATCAGCCATGCTGCCAGGCCTCCTGCCTGGGATTAGCCAGACTCCCCTAAGTATGCAGATCAGCCCCTCCTCACTCCCGCCTGCTGGTTTCTAGAAACTTCTCCATGCTTCTAGAGCAGGGGGCGGTATCAGAGAACTGACCTGTAGAGCCCACCAGCCCTGACTTAAAGCGGAGCTCCACCTAAAAGGGGAAGTTCTGCTTTAAACTTTTGT